TTTTTGCAGGCTTTAAGTCTTAAGCAAATTTCTCTTAACATCGTTTGATTTTGATCTATTAAAACTAAAACTGTTTTTCTTGAAATTAAAAAAATGCATTGATAAATACCTAGTCAATGACTGCAGTGAGCTATATATCATATCCCCAGGGAGGTGCTACTTTATACTAAGGCTTGTTCCTACAGTCAGACATACATTCATAGGTATGTATATATCAGCTGCATTTGCTATTGAAAGTATTTAGATAAAAATCTAGTGAATTTATAAAAGATAATTAAAAAAAAAAAAAAACATAGAAAGCAACTGTAGATACCAGAGACAGTGTGGGAGGAAGGTGGGAAATGGCAGAGGATGAGAGGTAGGGAATCAAAGAGGGAAAGAAAAGCAAAATATATAAGAAACAAGAAATGGAAAATTATTTGTTAATAGCATATATGGTAATATCCTTGATTGAGCCAATATACAGTGTATTCTGGATGGAAAATCTCATTTTGTGTACTATAATGTTGTACAGTGAATGACTGTAAATAAAAAAATTTAAAATTAAAAAAAAAAAAAAAGAAAACTTCGCCAGACCTTAGCCATCATGGCTTGGGATAGTAATAGCATTTAAGGCCACACCTGCCATTGTTATGAAAACAACATGTGTAATCCATCTCTGGGCCTTGATTCTTATAATCCTTACTGCTTTCCAAAGCCCCCCTAACATGCACAGGGCCCCTTGGGGATGCAGGCAATCCCTGTTCTTTCTAGGTATCTCCCACCCTGCTGCCGGTGTTTGTGAAATTTCTTCCAGTAATTATTTCTGGTAAGATGAACACGTGTGTATTTACCTATGCACTTCTGTGTGCATGTGTGTATACATGTGCACTTTTTTATGTACTTATGTTTATGTGCATGTGTGTGTTTGTGTGCTGTTTTAGAGCATAAGCACCTTAAAATATTTGATTTTGTTAAAACAATTCCATCCACTTAAATAATGCCATTTTTTTTTAAGGGTCCTTGGTGCTAAACACCCCCCACCCCAGTCTAATCAGAGGGAAGGCAAATTCGTTTATCTGGCTTCTAAATAGAACTTCGTGGAAATCCTCCTGACATCACTATCTCATAGCAGGGCTTGTTTTTGGGCTGACAGGGAAGTAGAGTAGAGGATACAGTTAGGTCAAGAGCCCATGGTGCAGGCTCATGTCCACCAGAAATCAAGAATGATCTCAAATCAGTTAGGAAATGGGCAGAGCCTCAAAAGGGGTATTTCCATAGGGTAGGCACCACCATGTCCCCTCGACTGTAGATACAAATGACCTCAACCCTCAGCACTCCTCTGGCTTGACAGAAAACAGGAAAGATGAATAGTATGAAGGACAGATGAGTAAGTATTGCACCAAGAAGCAGCATGGTGAGTAGACCATGAAGGCATTGTCGCCCCAAGAAGTATGCTCCACGGAAGGGCTTTTCACAGGCCCTTGGAATTGGCGTAAGATAATTGCTAGAGGCTTAGAGCCGGTGACAGCCCATGTGTCCATTCACAGCAGAGTAGATGATGGAACTATGAGAATTGAACCTGTGGGATACTAGAAAACTGAAAAAAAAAAATTATGTTAAGTCCATAAACAGGACAAAGTTAGGTCCCCATATTAGGGACAAATAACTAGACACCAGAATGATGAGCCTTGGCCAGATGATAGTCCAGCTCCCCCATGTCTTCTCAGGTCATGCACAGGCTGTTCTAGCATGTATCTCTTCTGCACCTCAATTGTTTTTCTTTTTGGTTTTCTTTGTTTTTTTGTTTTCTGTTTTTGGAAGGGCATCATGTTTGGGGCCCAGGGCTCCTTCAGTGGTCCGTCTTAACTGTTCACATCAGGACCGTGTTCATTTCCTTTATCAACCAAGTGGAGTCTTGCACTGGTTGAGCAGGATGGTGGCTGCCATCTATTGTATACATTATATTGTCAAGCAGGTCTTCGGGCAGAGAGAATGAAGGAAGACGAGTTAGGAATTCACTCTGGAATCACACTGGCTCTGTGATGTGTGCTGCGTCACTTGGGCATGGTAGTCTAGGTCTTTCTCTTTACCTCTAAATGGCAGTATCTAGAAGCTCTCACATTCCTCACCAGAGAAGACCCAGTGTCTTCAGTTCACTGGACATAGTGTTTGCTCAGCAAGTGCACAGTGAATGTTGTTAATGGTGCTTTTGAGGTTCACACGGTCGCCTCGAGTCTTTAAAAGGGCTAGCATGTAGAAGTTCTTGGCTCTCCACAGCTTCAGAAGGCAAAACCAACACTACTAGATAGGAGCTAGTCCTCTAGATGGCAGGGAGTTTCCTGTAACTGTTGGGTTCAGTGTGGGAAGATGGTAGCTTCCAACAAGTTCTGGGAGGGATCCCTCTACCTGGTGAGGACCAGAACTTAAGGAATTTTATAATACCAACCAATTCCTAGTGAGGGTTGGACAAAACCCAGGCCTGAGGAGTCTCTTAAGTTGAATGCAACTGGAATTTAGATCTCCTGCTCTCAGTCCTCAGCTTACTAAAGCACTCTGCACTGTGAGAAAGGCTGAGAACTCAACATGCTCACAGACGTTTCCACTCAGGGTACCATGTTATCTATGTGTGCCCAACAAAAATAAGGCAAGCTCATCATGTTCTTTAAGCTGCATAGTCTTTATTAATATAAAACAGGTATGTTCAAATTATGTCTCATTACTAAACAATCACTCATTTCTCAGATTTATTGGGTGCTGTGTGCAGTGTTATCAACCATAGCTGTGACAGGCCCCTCATGCAGGGGCAAGGGAACAGACATAGCTGCCACATTTGCTGGAAGACTTGGGAGAGTTATGGGGATACCTAAGACCCCTCGGTTCTGGATTTGGGGGGCGGTCACAGAAGTCCTCAGTGGTACAATAAGTAAAGACTATACTTATTTTCAGAAAGAGTTGTAAAGCCTGTTCCTTTGCTAGCCTTTGTTATCGTACTCTCTTACTGGTTTTCTGATATACATCAAACACTAGAAATATAGTAGTCCATCCTTTATCTGTAGTTCTGCTTTCTGGAATTTTAGTTACCTGTGTCAGTTAGAGTCCAAAAATATTAAATGGGAAACTCCAGAAATAACAATTCATAAGTTTTAAATTGTGCTGTCTTAAGTGATGAAATTTGGTGCCATCCCACTTTGTCCTGCCCCAGATGTGACTCCCTCTGTCCAGTGTATCTGCCGTATGCACTACTGACTGTTAGTCACTTCATAGCATATTGAAAAACCATACCATATATAGGGGTCGCTGCTATCTGTAGCTTTGGACATCCATCTGTTGTAGGAATGTATCCCCCTTGGATGGGATTGCTACTGTACAAATTTTAAGAATTCAGAAACTGAGTAGTAACTATCAAATAATTTAGTTTCCAAATGTGTGGGGTTTTCTTCAGTAGCTTCTTATTTTTCATATTCTTAGAACTGTCTTTGGAGAGTATTTAACAAATTTGAAATGAGAAGCCTCCCAAATTTGTCAACTGGCTTTAAATTCAGTATCTTGATATGTAATTTAGCTTCTAAATTTGTTCGTTGTTTATCCTTTATTATATGCTTTTTATGAAAGAACAGATGTTGATTTCTTAATGTACCTGCCTTTTCAACAAATTTTATAACCTCCATGAAACAAATCTAAGATATAATGCACTTTTTAAAATCTTAACTAATGAAGCATGACCAGGTGTTTTGCAGATTAACAAAAATAAGATCATAGACCCAGCCTAGGTGGTGCAGTCAGTCTAGTATGTCTCTGACATACAGGACTTCAGTGCCGGAAGCACATGGCTGGCTGTGGGTTCAAATCCCTGCAGCCTGAGAATATGCCATGCACACACGCTGGCACCCAGGATCCTCAGGAGCTGGAAAGCTGGGGAAAGGAACTGCAGCATGAGACCCTGTCAAGAGTGCTTCTCTCTCTCTCTCTCTCTCCCCCCCCTGATGCTCTGCTTTGTACATGCAAGTGCTGTCATTTAAAAAAAAAAGTTTTGTTTTGTTTATTTTTACATTCTAAGAGTTAAGAAATGTTGATATTGATAGCAAAACTAAGGACCCTTGAACATAAAACTCTGAAAACCTATCGTCCTGGCATCTTGCACACTTGTGAATAAATCAAGAATTCACAATCTACCTTGGGTTTTTCAAATAGTTCTTTATCTTCTTGACTAGTTCAATTCTTTCCATTTGTTTTGGTTATGTGGCAGAAGTATAGGGAATTAAACATACAGAGAAGGTAAGAGACGTGAGGTTTACTAGCTTTAGCACAAGAATATAGATAAGCAAGTGTTGGAGGAAAAGTATGTTATACAACATTACCAGAATTAGCTGCAGATGCTGGTGGGAGTTGGGAGATGAGGAGGTAAGAGGAGGCAGGGTCCTGAGTGGGAGGAAGCAGAGAGGACACACTGCACACTGAGGATCTCCGGCAGTGGGCACGGGTCTGCACAGCAAGCATGGAACTCCACTAAACAGACCTGGCCAGGCTGCTGGGCATCCACAGTCCACTCTATCGCCAACAGGGTAGGGTATGGGAGCTGAAATGCATGTGAGGGTGGGACCTCAAGGATTGTCCTAGCTCCCAATAGGTTCCTAGGAATTAGCCAGTTTGTACCCAAAGCTGCTGAGAAATTTGAAAGGAAAAATGTTGTTTAGGGAGCCAGCAGGTGGTTTGGTGGTTAAGGCACTGGACTCCACATGGTGGACCATGGTTTGAGTCCTGGACCTGGACCCTTGAAAAAAAGATCATGCCGGGCACGTATACATACTTGCCCCCAAATTTCAAGAGAATAGAGAAGGAATTGTGGCATGGCCATCTCCCTGGGGAGTGATTTCTCATGTTCCCGCTCATTTTCGCTCAGTTGCGACCTTTCTCTCTCTCTCTGGTAAGTACACACACCCAATGGCAAAAAAAAAAAAAGAGAGAGAGAGAGAGAGCGAGAGAGAAAGTGATTTTAGGCCCCCTCCTTCCTTTACTTGGGGCAGACTAGTTGGGTAGTGGTATTTCGAGGCAGGGTCAGAGAGATCTCAGTGGCTATTCTGATCTGTTTGTGACATCTGCCCCTTTCCCAGGAACTCTGGCTGGGCAAAAGGTGCAGGAAATAGCAGCAAGGAAGAGTCTCTTATTTTCAGCATGACACCACCACCACAAACTGGTCATGCCTGTCTAGATCCTTTTTCCTCTACTGACTAGAAAGTCTATCTGCCCTTGGCTTGATCCTGCCCCCAGGCCTGTTCATTTCTAAGAGAATGGCAGAGTTAAACACCAGCAAGCCATCCACTGTCGGGCCAGGCTGGATTTCGGTACTGGTTCTTCAGTGAACACCTAGGTTTTCAAGTGTAACAACTGGATGGGAAACTCTGGAGACTGTACCTCAGAGAAATGGCCAGCTCTGTGCTCGGGAAGGAAAGTCAGGCTGCAGCTTTCAAGATTTGAATGAGACCCTGGCATACCTTCAGCAGAAATTTCAGAAACAATTCAGAAAATTGTCTTTCCATTTAGCCCCATAGTCTACAGATAAGGAAGCTGACTCCTCAGCATGTCACAGCTACTAGGGCAGTTATCACAGCAGCAGCTATAGTGTCCAGTGTATTTTCATCATACTTCACAGGCAAACTCTAACTCAGTCACCTCATGCTTTGAGGAGCTATGGTTCAAATGTAATAAATAGGACAACTAATTCATAACTAAATTCCTCAAGAGACCAGGACGAGTATGAGGTCACCACGTACGGTGGCCACAAAGTGCAGAGCTGTGCTCTGCAGTCCTGGGGACCAGGCATATTTCAGAATTCAGATGTTTTCAGGTTGTCAGAAAAAAAATATGCTGTATATGTATCATGTATCTCAGAATACCATGAGCCAGCAGCACACCACAGTCATATTAGCCTTCCTTCAGAAACAGCAGGTCAAGAAAGTACCTCACATCATTTCAGTCAGGACTTGCTAGCAAATGAATCTGCTGCAAACTTGGCATTGGGGAATCTCATTTTCACAGCCTTCTTGGGTTTAAGGATTGGGGGACTATGGGCCTGTAATTTAGTCCTAGCGAACTGGGTAGAGGTGAATGGACAGTTTGAGGAGGCTTACAAAAACTGGGATGGTAGAATGTCTAGAGCTGGGTGGATGAGGCAAATAATTGGCTTAGATTGCCAACACCTCTGTGCCTGGCCTGTGAGGGAGGTGCCTCACTTGCACCACCTTCTGGCTGACATCCACATGCATCTCTGAGTGCAACAGGCCCATCTGGGCTATCTGTCCCTGTAAGCATAGAGGATCTAAGCAAAGGAGAGATGTTGGGCCCTGGCCATCTTGGGTAGCCAGCTTGTGTCCTGTCCCTTCTTGTTGAACTGAGAGTGACTCTTCCCCCAACATCTAGACCTCTTCCCCAGGGGAGGCCCTTTTAGCTTCAATATTAAGTTAGATATCCTAACTTTTTTTTCCCTTTCTTCATATATTCTTTAGTTTTGCAGTTTGGGAAACTGATTTAGAAAGCTCCATAGTGAAAAAAGAAAAATCAGCTGATATCTGGGAGTCATGGGGGGGGAGGTGGTTTCAAGTACATTTAGTAGATGAGAGAGCTTCAGTTGCTACTTAATTACTCCTTGTTTAAGACCAGCCACATCCCTGATGCTTAAAAAAATATTTTAATAACTCCTGTGTGTGACTGTGGCAGGCCCTGCTGGCCTGCCGTCCTTACTCCGTGCATAGCTGCATCACCAACAGCACAGCATGTGACAGCAGCATCCATCCACCCAGTCTCCTCCTGGCAGGCCTTTGTATTGTCGCCTTCATTTTAATTTTCTGTTGAACATCTCTTTAAAAAAAAAAAATCAAAACCAAAACCAAAAACAAAAACGGGAGGGAGAAATCAAGTATTTTAACATTGCAAACAAAGTATAAATACTGGCTTTAGGTGTTCATCACTTCATTTAGAAAGCTTAATGTTGAGGAGGCGGAAGGTAAATATAATAGTTTGAGAACGTGGGCCTTCGAGATGTGTACTCAGGAGAAATGCACACACCTGAAGGAGAGAGCAGGTCAGTACTAAGAACGCAGTGTATTCTTCACATGCCGACCTGTCGCTTTGAACGTGGCCTTGGCCTGAAGTTGGCCTTTTTGGGAAACACATAGAATACTTCAAGAAAAACACCCCTTGTCCTGTTCTTGCCTCAGCACATCTGTTTCTGGGGAAGAACACGCTCTAGTGGCCAAGGAAACAAAGTGCTATGCATCCAGCTGAACTTCAGTTACCTCGTGCATAGCTGCATCACCAACAGCACAGCATGTGACAGCAGCATCCATCCACCCAGTCTCCTCCTGGCAGGCCTTTGTATTGTCGCCTTCATTTTAATTTTCTGTTGAACATCTTTTAAAAAAAAAAAATCAAAACCAAAACCAAAAACAAAAACGGGAGGGAGAAATCAAGTATTTTAACATTGCAAACAAAGTATAAATACTGGCTTTAGGTGTTCATCACTTCATTTAGAAAGCTTAATGTTGAGGAGGCGGAAGGTAAATATAATAGTTTGAGAACGTGGGCCTTCGAGATGTGTACTCAGGAGAAATGCACACACCTGAAGGAGAGAGCAGGTCAGTACTAAGAACGCAGTGTATTCTTCACATGCCGACCTGTCGCTTTGAACGTGGCCTTGGCCTGAAGTTGGCCTTTTTGGGAAACACATAGAATACTTCAAGAAAAACACCCCTTGTCCTGTTCTTGCCTCAGCACATCTGTTTCTGGGGAAGAACACGCTCTAGTGGCCAAGGAAACAAAGTGCTATGCATCCAGCTGAACTTCAGTTACCTCGTGGTCATCTTGACTCCCGGATGAGAGACCCCAGTGGGAGGAGGGAGGAGGGCAGAAGCCTTAGCTCATTTGCCACCGCCTCAGTGCTCCCAGGTGTGACAGTTGCTTCCGTGAGCTCAGGTGGTCCCAGCATCAGACTGTGTCTACGTCATCACCTGCTGAACCCCTGTCTGGTCAGGGGGACAACGCCGGGGCCCGCAGTGCATTTTCTTTATCAACCGCCGGAGCTTGTTAGGGAAGTTTTTGTTGATGTAGCGGTAAAGAAGTGGCATTACAAAGCTACTAGAGAAAGCCAAGAATTTCGACAAATCCTTAGCAAAGTGCACTATCCCCATGTAGTGCCCATCCACAGGCTTCCCTTGCGAGACTAGAACCGTGTGGCCGAGGAGAGTCAGGTAGTAAGGCGTCCAGAGTCCAAACTGTGTGCACACAGTGGCTACCAGAAGCCTGTGCACTGAAGGGTCCAGCCTCCCCACATCCTGGTCAAGGGGTGTGTCTTCCTTCCGGATCCGCGAGATGAGCACCAGTGCATACAGAACAGCAAGGGCTGGCACTGCAAACCCAATGAGCACCATGATGGCGTCAGCAGCCTCTGTGTTCTGCATCTTGGAGCACTCAACAACCCTGGAGGACACATGGCTGCAGATGTAGAAGAGCAGGGATGAAAAGCTGGTCAGCAGGGCCCCACCCCAGACAAAGCCACACACGTGCCGGGTGTTGTACACACTGGCCATGTAGGTACGCGGCAGGGCGCGTTCGATGTAGTAGTCGAGGCTAAGCAGGGTGGTGGAGTACATGATCACCAGAGCTGAGACATTGAAGAGGACCAGCAGTGTGACATGCACCTCACTGCTGACACTCCATAGGGCCCAGCGGGCATTGGGGGGGCCCAGCAGGTACACAGGGGCCAGGGCATTGAGGACCAAGCCTGCCACAGCCATGTTCACAAAGTACACATCCGGCATGGTCATGCTGCGCTTGTTGTACAGGTTGACTAGCACCAGCAGGGCATTGTAGCATAGGCCCACTGGGAAGCCCACGGCCAGGTAGAGCAGCGCCAACACTGACAGCCCCAGGTGCAGGTCCTGGCAGGCCTCCTGGTCTGCGCTCTGCCCTGTCCCATTGAGCAGGCCACAGTCCCACATGGTGGCCTGGCCCAGGCTCCGTGGTTCTGTGAAAAGAAGGAATAAGAGTCAGTTCACTTCCCTACTCTTTTAGTACAGAGGCCAAGGACAGCTTAGAAATACAGAGGTGGTACGGTCCACTGGCTTAGAACTTCTAGAGACTACTGGCCTTTTTAAAAAAGCATTCTGTCCCAATTGTGCTTTCCTTAAGAATGAAGTTACCATCATAAATGGCTGTCTTAAATGAGCTTGGGTGCTGTGGTTATGGCTAATGATACTGCAGTAATTTCAGTGGCCACAGGGAGTATCCCTGACCTATCTGGCAAGAAGTCTGCATAGGGCTGGCCCCACAGCATGGCAGTTAAGTACCACGCACATGGAGCCAGATTCCACATGGCCAAACCTGATCTGAGTCCTGGCCCTAGTGGCTTGTAAAACAGGCAGGGTACATGTGCACAACTAAGATCCTGACAGAATGGAGAACTGGACGGAAAAGTTTTACAAAATGAACATTACAGGGGGTTGCTCTCTTTCTCTGCAGAGTGTACATGCCCTCTGGCAACAAAAAAAGAAAGAAAGAAAGAAAGAAATGTAAGTAATGGGGCCAGCAAGTGGCGTAGAGATTATAGCACTGGACTCCCACATGACCGACCACAGTTCAAGTCCCAGACCTCATGGCTTGAAAATCACTCTGAGCACATGTGCACGCATGCCCATTATCCTAAGAAAACGAAAGAGGGGGGATTGCAGTGTAGCCATCCCCCCTTGGGAGATGATTTTTCACTTTCCCTCTTGCTCTCTTTCTCTGGCAAGCACACATGCCCTATGGCAATAACCTTTTAAAAAGAGAGAGAGAGACAGAGAGAAACCTGAGTAATGGAGAGAGAAATGAGTAATGGATAGTTCGTTTGAGACACTCCTATGGAGGAAGTGCTTCACATCTTCTCCTGTATCTACTCATGTTCCAGAGAGGCCGCAGGCAAAATGTGGGGGTATTTCTCTCTACCAGGAAGTCTCCAACTGACTGCTACCTCTTGGCATCAGTGATACTTTCCAGAGCCAAAAATCTACCCTACCCTGTACCACCAATCCCCACATGATGAGCTGACCCCACCCGTCTCCCTCTCCTGCTGTAACTGACATGTACGGGCGCTACTGTGCACCCAGATGGAAGACAACAGAGATGAGCGCACACGTGCAAGGACCACCCCTGGCGCACCATGAGCCACTGCTCTGGTGCAGGTGTGTGACATGTAGGATAGAGACCAGAGAAGGGGCCTAGCGTCTGCCTCTGAGACAAAGTGTGGTGTACCTTATGGTTGGCCCAACCTGAATGAACTGTCTCAGCTAGAGTGGATGGGCCTAGCACTGCAATTCCTAGCTGACCAGATGTCTGAGTGCTCAGACCTCAGAGATGCTCTGTGTGGACGGTCAGCCCTGGGTTGCCCTCTCTCCTGGCAGGTGAGAGAGCAGAGCCTGGGTTCCAGACAGGGGCAGGAGTCGAGGGGAGAGGGGTAACTCAGGGATACAACCAGTATTGCCATAACTGAATGAAAAATTGGCAGGTGAAGTCATAATACAAAGAAAGAACTCTGTCTTCTCAAAGAACTGGACATTCCAGTTCTCTGGGGGGGAAACCTTATATTCAAAGTGTAGTTAGTTCCAACTAGACCTCATACTTTCAGAATAAAAAGGAAAGCATCTCAAACAGACCCACAGAAAGCAAATATTCTTGTTTCACGGAGCACAGGAGCAAAGCGAGAAAGCCAGGCTGCTGCTGGTGGTGCTAGTCCCCACCACCCACCATTGCCAGTTGCAAGGAGCTCTGCAACCACGCAGCCACGCACATGGAGCCAGATTCCACATGGCCAAACCTGATCTGAGTCCTGGCCCTAGTGGCTTGTAAAACAGGCAGGGTACATGTGCACAACTAAGATCCTGACAGAATGGAGAACTGGACGGAAAAGTTTTACAAAATGAACATTACAGGGGGTTGCTCTCTTTCTCTGCAGAGTGTACATGCCCTCTGGCAACAAAAAAAGAAAGAAAGAAAGAAAGAAATGTAAGTAATGGGGCCAGCAAGTGGCGTAGAGATTATAGCACTGGACTCCCACATGACCGACCACAGTTCAAGTCCCAGACCTCATGGCTTGAAAATCACTCTGAGCACATGTGCACGCATGCCCATTATCCTAAGAAAACGAAAGAGGGGGGATTGCAGTGTAGCCATCCCCCCTTGGGAGATGATTTTTCACTTTCCCTCTTGCTCTCTTTCTCTGGCAAGCACACATGCCCTATGGCAATAACCTTTTAAAAAGAGAGAGAGAGACAGAGAGAAACCTGAGTAATGGAGAGAGAAATGAGTAATGGATAGTTCGTTTGAGACACTCCTATGGAGGAAGTGCTTCACATCTTCTCCTGTATCTACTCATGTTCCAGAGAGGCCGCAGGCAAAATGTGGGGGTATTTCTCTCTACCAGGAAGTCTCCAACTGACTGCTACCTCTTGGCATCAGTGATACTTTCCAGAGCCAAAAATCTACCCTACCCTGTACCACCAATCCCCACATGATGAGCTGACCCCACCCGTCTCCCTCTCCTGCTGTAACTGACATGTACGGGCGCTACTGTGCACCCAGATGGAAGACAACAGAGATGAGCGCACACGTGCAAGGACCAACCCTGGCGCACCATGAGCCACTGCTCTGGTGCAGGTGTGTGACATGTAGGATAGAGACCAGAGAAGGGGCCTAGCGTCTGCCTCTGAGACAAAGTGTGGTGTACCTTATGGTTGGCCCAACCTGAATGAACTGTCTCAGCTAGAGTGGATGGGCCTAGCACTGCAATTCCTAGCTGACCAGATGTCTGAGTGCTCAGACCTCAGAGATGCTCTGTGTGGACGGTCAGCCCTGGGTTGCCCTCTCTCCTGGCAGGTGAGAGAGCAGAGCCTGGGTTCCAGACAGGGGCAGGAGTCGAGGGGAGAGGGGTAACTCAGGGATACAACCAGTATTGCCATAACTGAATGAAAAATTGGCAGGTGAAGTCATAATACAAAGAAAGAACTCTGTCTTCTCAAAGAACTGGACATTCCAGTTCTCTGGGGGGGAAACCTTATATTCAAAGTGTAGTTAGTTCCAACTAGACCTCATACTTTCAGAATAAAAAGGAAAGCATCTCAAACAGACCCACAGAAAGCAAATATTCTTGTTTCACGGAGCACAGGAGCAAAGCGAGAAAGCCAGGCTGCTGCTGGTGGTGCTAGTCCCCACCACCCACCATTGCCAGTTGCAAGGAGCTCTGCAACCACGCAGTGGCCTGTCCCTCATTTGTTGACACACCCTACAGTGTGGAATGACATCTGCCACGTCATGGTAGGCCAGGACAGTGAGCGATGATGGAGTCACATACATGGGCTGGTACAGGAGCAGGATCAAGAGGAAGTGAGGAGGTTCATGGTGAAGAAAATGAAGATGAGTCCAGCGCTTAGACCTTGCTCAGGCAGCAGTGTCTGCAGGTGCCAATGGCCCACAGCACCAGCGACTTTGTCCCACAGGACTGTCCCTAACAGCAGCAATCTAATCACCTACATATTTCAGAGTCAGACACACAAAGGCAGTGGGCAGGTGAGTGGTTGCAGGAATTCCCATTCAGATGCATGACCACAATCCTGAGAGGCAGGTGGGCGGGGCACTGATTGTGGACGTTATGCAACTCACGTGAATGCTATCCGACAGCCTTAGATAATGAGAGTCAGATGGCGACGGAAGGTAGGGCTGGCCTCCCCCACCCCCAAGTACCAGGTGCAGCTTTCCTAGGAGAAGTGTTTGCTCTCGTTCACAATGTGGACACAGGTCCTTAGACTCAGACCACTGTCCTCACCCTCTGATTTTATCCATCTCTTCACTGAACATCTAGATGGCACCTCCTGAGCTGGGAAGGCAACCTCCTCTGGGGATGCCAGCGGGGCACAATTCTGCTCAAGGGGCTGGGAGATGGTATAAACACCAGGTAGATTGGACCCACGCCCAGAACATGCCCATTTGTAAAGTAAGAAGCTGCTGGTTTCCCATGAGCAGAGGAGGCTGTCCTGGCCTTCTGTCTCCAAGCCGATTCAATGGCTAGTTCCTTCCTTCTGTTTCTCTTTTCTGTGCTGCTGTTCCTCCCCTATCTTGGCTTCTGAACTGCCCCAGCGGCCATTGTCTAGCTGACGAGATCTTTCCGGTGTATCTGCAACCCAGGCTACAAACTGCGAAGCTGTATGACTTGGGCAGTTTCTGGAGGCTGAGCCAGGAGCCTGCAGTTACCGGTTCATTGTCTACCATTCCCCACTGGCCTGAATTCCCAGGAAACTGTGCATCTTGTGGCCACCTGCAGGCAGATGTCACCAAACTTAGTGTCTCTACCCCAACAGCAGCCTGTCCTCTCCTGATTCCAGGGACCTCAAGGTTTGTCTAAGATTTTACTACATTATTTCCTTTCGAACCTCTTCAACGTGGGACAAAGGATGTGAGAACTGCAAGTTCCTCTGAGAGGAAAGACCCTTCACACCGTGTGACAAGTGTCACCTTGGGCTTGCTTACCAGAAGTGCCTGGCCCAGCTGTGCCACATTTCTCTGGCAGACCTAGTAGGTGCTACATCCTACTCAGTCCTGCTCCTGCTCACTGAGGAGTGAAATGGCCCTTTCATTTCACTGTCTGGAGAGGCTCCTGCTGGTGGCAGATCATTCAAAGCCATTGTTGCCACACAGGTCAGCTCCCCCGGCCCTCATCTACCCATTCAGCTCACAGCACCAGCCCCTGGCCTCTTACCTCTCTATTTTGTGTCCCACATTTTTTAGTTCCGTGAACTCCAGATGCCGTCAGTGAGCAGCATCACAGGGCAGAGACAGCTGCCAGGGACCAGAACAGATCTGTCCTGTTCCTCTGGAAGCCCCACAGGCTCCTTATCAGCAGTAGCCATGTAGCACAGGCTTCCTGTGAGTGTGCATGTGTGTGTCCGTATGAGAGAGCACACCAGCACACACATTCGTGCCAGTGTGGAAACGCAC